TTCTTCATACGTGGGGTTTGTCTTTTGAAACTCACTTTTTTCCTCCCACTCGGAGACACCTGCTCGCAGGGTTTGCCGCGGCAGGGTGTGCATTAGGGTGCCTCTCAGGCTCCATTTTTCTGACCATAGTAGATCGGTTGTAGGTTTCACTGTTGCTGCTGTTCAGAGAGGTGAAGCACTAGGAATGACTCGGGTGTGCTGTACTGTACAGTTAAACTGTGACTCCTGCTCTCAGTTACCTTCTTGGTCTCTTTGCTCTCTCTTGAGCCCCTGCCCTTGTACTGATATCTTGGAGTGCTCGGTCTGCCAAACTGAGATGCCCTGTTGCACGTTTGTGCTTGAGTTTTCAGTTGTTTGAGGTGATTAAGTGGAGTCAAGTATGAGAGGATTTGCTTTTTTTAAACTTTTGCTGGATCTCTGTAAAATATATGAAGCTCTCCTGATTGATACTGTCCCCTGGCCAGCTGAAAAAAGGTACAATTTTTCAGAATTGGTTGGCATAAAGAAGGAAAGCTTTTCTGTTGGTGAAGCTGCTGATTAGCACTCATGTTTCTCTCTGTCTCTGTGCTTAGATTGAGCGACTGGAAGTCAGCAGCTTGGCACAGACCTCCAGTGCCGTGGCCTCCAGCACTGATGGCAGCATCAATGCAGACTCCGTTGATGGGACCCCAGATCCTCAGCGGACAAAAGTGGCCATCACACACCTGCAGCAGAAGATACTGAAGCTGACAGAGCAGATCAAAATTGAGCAAACAGCCCGTGATGACAACGTGGCAGAGTACCTGAAATTGGCCAACAATGCAGACAAGCAGCAGAGTGCCCGCATTAAGCAAGTGTTTGAGAAGAAAAATCAAAAGTCAGCCCAGACCATCTTGCAGCTGCAGAAGAAATTGGAACATTACCATCGAAAGCTGCGAGAGATTGAACAGAATGGGATCCCTCGGCAGCCAAAGGATGTCTTCAGGGATATGCATCAGGGTTTGAAAGACGTTGGAGCAAAAGTCACTGGCTTCAGTGAGGGAGTGGTTGACAGTGTAAAAGGCGGACTTTCCAGTTTCTCCCAGGCCACACATTCAGCAGCAGGAGCTGTGGTTTCCAAACCCCGGGAGATTGCCTCCCTCATAAGGAACAAGTTTGGGAGTGCAGACAATATTGCTAATCTGAAAGACTCCTTAGAAGAAGGCCAGGAAGATGGGACAGGTGGCAAGGCTCTAGGTGTTATTCAGAACTTTCAGTCAAGCCCAAAATATGGCAGTGAAGAGGATTGTTCCAGTGCCACATCAGGCTCGGTGGGAGCCAACAGTACAACAGGAGGCCCTGTGGGAGCTTCCATCTCCAAAACAAACACTCTGGATATGCAGAGCTCAGGGTTTGATGCAATACTGCATGAGATACAAGAAATTCGAGAGACACAGGCAAGACTGGAAGAATCATTTGAGGACCTTAAGGTTCGCTACCAGAGGGATTACACGTTGATAATGCAGACCCTGCAGGAGGAGCGGTACAGGTATGTGCTGTGGTACTTCGTTTGACATTCCAATGCTGTGATTGCAAAGCACCAGAGTTGTGGATGGTAGTGCTCAGCAGGCTGTTCCCAGCAGCCTGATTCAAGTGGATGGTTCTGAGGTCTTCTCAGGACTATTCCCTCCCAGTTCTTCCTTTTATAAATATTTCTATCTTACTGCTCACCTCCATCTCTGTACAAGAAAGAGATTGTAAGGAAAAAGGTTATTTCAAAATGTTTTCCAGATAAAAAGTGAAGCTGAAGAGGTCTAATAAGGTGTCCCAAAGCCAGGAGTAGTACATTGATGCAATTACTGGTATCACACAGTGCTTTGCCCTGCAAAAAATCCTGAAAATATTTGGATCAAAGCAAAGACGGGGAACTAATGCGGACATGACTTGACCCTGCCTTCTCCAACACTCAGATCCATATCTACCAGAGAAAGAAATATTCCAGCTTTCTTCAAGTTCTCTAAAAATACATGATCTTGCCCATGTGCCAAAACTAAGATATCCCTTCCCTTCTTTGCTCAGTCCACAGTGGCAGCACCCAGGGAAATGAAGTTGAATTAAATGTCAGATACTGACAGTGCTCTTGTTGTGATTAGAGGACACTGGAAGCAGGTGACCTATGTTTCCATCAGTCTTCCCCTCACTGGAAGGGAATGGAAAGGTGGAGCAGTTGCTGCAGTACTGCTGGTCCCTGACGAAGCCGCAGGGGAGAGGTGACAGTGGCCTTCAGTAAGGCAGCCTGGCCGGCTGAGGGAAGCTGCCCATGGAGAGGTGCTGAGGGAATACTTCCCTGTCCTTGCTGGGTAGGAGAGGCTCTCTGCAGACTGCCCTGTGCTGTCCTGCCCAACACCCGATGTCCTCCACGCGCGTGCTGGGAGCAAGGGCTCGACTCCAGACTCTGAAGGGAAGAGTTACTAGCTGCCCTTCTGCAGGCATCCCGGACAGGATTCTTAAGCTTTAAATAACAAACGCAAAGCGCAAGCCCTCCTTCTGACGAAGGGCAGTACGCTGTTGTCATGAGGTTCTTTATGGCCTTCATTGCTTTGCCAGGATGTGAAACACAACCTGAAAGGCACAGCAGAGCTGCTGGGGGTGTGTACAAGCTTGCTGAAGTGCCCTGTGCCACTTGCTGCACTGGTTTGTGCAGTGTAACATAGAGTTGCCCTCCAGCTCTTTAGACATGCTTATGCCAAATCATTAGAAAAACTCTGGAAAAGGCTAACCTGCTAGGATCTGGTAGAGACAGCAGGCTCTCAGTGTGCTTTGCAGAGCTTGGGCAAACAAAGCCAGACCAACACTACTTTCTAATCCTGCTTTGTAATAATCAGCAGTTTGACTGAAACCGGCAACCAGCACAGCAGCTTTGGTTCCTTGTGCCGCAGTGTCATCAAGTCATCCCAAAGCGATGCAGAGCTGGATCTTCTGCTCCTCAGAGAGGAGAGAGGTGCCGTTGTCTGTTGCTGTGTAGGTTGTTGTTTTCACACATACAGCAGCAGCCATTCATGGTGGAACGCTAATGCAAGCACAGCATAGCTGAAGGAGTGGCCTGAAAGTACAATAGCAGACCTTGGGGACTGATGTGTGCTGTCAGCTAAGCGGGCTGCTTACTGCCCAGCACCTCTGAGCAAGGCTCACATAGGTGCCATACTAGCTCACCATGAAGTCATATCTGTTGTGTTATGTGCCATTAACCTTTGCAGAGCACTCCCCTGAGGTCAGCCCAGACCCCAAGCACTAACCAGGGCAGCCTGGAGTGAAAAGCAGGGACAATCTGCATTTGGCTTATAAAAGCTTAAGACAGTAATTTAGACCTGTCATTTGGAATGTTGATGCAAATTAATTAAAGGTGTGACCTTTAAAAAGGACCAGTCAAACCACCCTTGTCTGTGTGGGTAACTGCATGATCAGCAAGAGCTCATGGGTTAATCACAGTTAGATGACTACAGGACTCTACAAATGTAGATTCTTGTTTTTATAGCTTCTGTATTTTGAACTATCACAATGATAACAGCCAACATCACCTTAGAAGTGGACGGTGATGTAATGTGTCCAAGGGCAGAGGGTGCTCCTGCCTTGGCAGGGAGGGGTGGTGCCTGTTCCTCCAACTGGAACCCATCTTGCTCCTCAGCTCTCTTCAGAAAAAAGCTAAAAGAAGGGAAAAGAAGTTGTGATTTAATGCTGGCAGGCTGAGGATTCAGATTAATCCTAATTGGCCTTTAAAGTTGTAAATATCTCCTAACTCTGCTCTATTTATGGGAAGCTTTCAAAAACAAACACAGAGTTGACTTGGAGTTTAAAAAAAAGTTTTTGGAGAAGTCTTTTTCTTGTCAGGTGACAGTGAGTGCTTGCATTGCACCTGGAAGCTGGAATGAACATGCCATGACATTTTCTCACCTGGTCTTAATCCATTTCCTCTTTCTTAAATTGTCTACTGTTTTGTAGATTCTGATCTTTTTTCCCGTTTTTGTTTGTGCAGTTTCTGTTTATCATCCATGGCTTGCCTCACAGGTTTTCCATGACCTCCTTCATCTCCTCCTCCCCTCCCCTCCCCTTGCTTCCAGATCTTGTCTGCCATCCATGTGGCTGCCGGTTTGCTAACCCGTCTCGGAGGCAGGGACTCACCTGTCCAGTTGCTCCAGTTCTCCCGCCCTGGTGCAGGCCTGGCAGCCCCGTGCCAGGCCAGGGTGGGCTGTGCTGGCCAGCACGTGCTGGCCCTTGGGCGCTGCTCTGCTCTGCTCTGCTCCGCCGGGGCTGAGCCACTGAGGAAGGGAAGGAAGGCTCTGACGCTGCTTGGCCATCATTGTTTTCTTCTGCACCCGGAGCAGGCGCCTGAATGGCTTGTTGCTAATCTCGTTAGTGGAAGGTGGCAGTTGTTTACTGGTACGAGCAGGGACTTTTTGTGCTATCAAGACTGAAATAAAGTTCCTGCTGAGTATTTTCATCTTGCTTGTCCCTTCAGGAACCTGTTTGCACATGGCAAAACCATAAGCTCACATATTTGGAGTGTGGCCAGTCTAAGGTTTTGGGTTTCTTCCCAAGCCTGACAGCCTTGGAAAGGGCATTTAGGTCTCCCATGCTCCTGTCAGAAGAAAACATTCAGCCTAAAGGCTAGTCACTGGTGCTTCCATTTGTCTGGGTTCTAATGTAGTCTAATTGCCGCAATTCAGTCTGTCCTCATGATGTGTTTTAAAATAGAGCAGAGGAGCTAAACCTCTGAGGTCTGGGAGGGTTGGCAGGGCTGTTCTGGAGTGTGGCCAGGCAGTGGAGGCAGCATGTTGGTGCTCACCCAGCCAGGACAGCACCAAAACATCCCTGCAAAGCTGTCTGTCCTCCTTCCAGGGAGGCTCGGAGCCGCAAGTACAGGGATATGTGTGGGTGTCATGAGCAGCTTGTGCTCCCTGTTGGGAGCAAGCTCTGTCCTTCATCTGTCCTGCAAGATCAAAGACTTGGAGCATACTGGAAATAACTCCTGGTTTTACCTGTTCACTCCACTATTGGAAGCACTGTGGTCAGTAGCATAAAGATGTATTTAGTGAAAAATAAAGATTACATGAAGGTTTGTATGGCATAGCTATAAAAAGGAAAGGATCCATCTTGAGAGACATCTGAAGACAGGTACTAATCTTCATTCACAGTCTAATGCAGACGTCTTTGTAGCATTACTTTGATCAGAGTTTCTTTACTCACCATAGCACTGAGTGCAGATCAAATGCCTTTTTTTATCACATCCCTCCCTTCCATATGCTGTGCTAGCTGTGCCTTTTGCAACTATTACTTTAAAATGCCTTAAAGCTTTTTTTAAAAAATGAGATGGTCATAATTGTGTTTCCCAGCCTTTTTCAGACCACTTTCGCAATTCCCACGCAGTGAGCCTCAGAAAACATGTGGAAATACAACACGGCTATTTGAAATGAAGTGTTCCCATATCCCACACTTGAGCCAAGCACCCCAGCTTTTTACTGTGTCCGTAGGAACAGGTCTGATGATCTCGGTGATAGTTGTGACAGGCAGCATTGGTCTGCTGCACAGAGATGTTTCTGGGCTGGACCTTATTCTTTTGAGGATAAATTTCACATTTTAAATAGTAACAAAATAGTTCTTGAGGCATTTTCCATACATGACGTGAAGTGGGATTTGATTATTCAGGGCACTGCTATATTCACAGACAAGTTTAGTTTGTTCAGTAGAGCCTGGCACTGATGAATTAGAGGCATGTATTTCATCTTAACCCTCTTGACAGGTAGCCTATCCCTTTTACTTGTGTAATACTCCCACTTAAATGCAAATCAGCTTTCAATAGGGAAACCCTGGTTCTGGGCCCCGTAAGTGCTTTGTAAATTTGAACACCAGTAGAAAGCTGCTGAAGAAAATTATTTTCTAAATTGTAGATATTGGGACAAGAAGTGAAAAGAAGCTGAATGGAGGATATGTCATTTAAAAAATACGTCAGGGTAGGTTAGTGGGGGCAGGGATGGTTTTTTTTTTTTAAATAACCCAGTTCTAGCAGTTGCCTGACACTGTGAGTTCTGGAAATGCAGGTGATTCTTGGATGCAAACTGCAGCAGTTCTGGTGTTGAGCAGGGAGTGAAGTGTGGATTGGGAATGAGCTGGTTGTTCTGCAGTCTTCAGGGCAGGAAGACTGGAGCCAACCCTTCTGCTAATCATGTTCTGTTTAAACTCTTAACTATACAGATTAGCAGGGTTTCCTTATGTTTCCTGTAGATTGAGGTAGTTTTGAAGTTATTAAAATACAATTGTTTCCTGTTAGAGAACAGGATTTAAGCTGCTTGGCACCAGCTGCTTTATGAAAGGTGTTATGTGAGAGGAGGTTAAAAAATACAATCATGCTGTTTTCAGAAATGCTTAAGTTTCTTTTTGTGTAATAAACACACTGCTGAATTTTGTAATATAGTAACAAACTGAATATGTTTCAAGTAATTGATGCTGCCTTTTGGGCTTGGAGTGGGTTTAGTTGTGATTTTTTTGGTTGTTGGCCAGTTTTGTTGTCAGTTTTAAGTCATGTGGGAACAAAGGGCAATATTAATTATCTGGACTCCTTCTTTGTTAGCCAGTCTTCATATGGCCATTCCCTTGTCAGTCCTGGGAAACCAGTTCTGGTGTATCCCGGCACAGTTGCAGAGCTCTTCTGGCACCTTTCTGGGCTCAGCCACGTCAGCTGGCAGTTGTCTTGGTTTCACTGCAGGTTGACCACATGCATTTTACTGCTGCAAGTTGTCATGCTGTCAGAAATGCTGTGTCTGACTCCTTAGTTTAAAGTAATATTGCGTTAGGAACATAAACAAAAATTCTTTTCATACTTGTCTATTAAAAACAAAACACTAAGACTGTTTTCAAAGGCTGGCTTTTGACTACAGATTCTAAAACACAAAAAAAAGTCTTGGAAAAAACGAGAAGCAGGATTTGTGTCTTAGTTTCAGAACTTGCAATTAAATTCTTCATTCTAGATAAATATTTCTTACTCATCTTGTGGGAGTTTTTTGTAGGAATTAAATTCAGTGGAGTCAAAAGAAAACCAAAATTTAAACAAGGAATTATCTCTGTGGTTATATCCTTAGAAATGTCTTGGTTATTAGTATCAAGATTCAGATGATAAGGACTGTGTGGTAAACTTCATTCATGGACTTTTTCCATCTGCTACAATGAGTAGACAGTGGAAAAGGCCCAATGGCCACCACATCTGTGTCCATACCTTTGTTACCATCAGAGCTGCCATTTCAGTTAATTTATAACTCTCTCAGGGAGAAGCAAAACTTTATCTCTCTGAGTTGTTATAACTCAATTTGTTTAAGCAACCGTCTTCCTCGCGACTGCTCCTGGTTCATTCACCAGCAGCAAACTGAAAAATAAGCCTGTGGGTTAGTGATTCATGTGTCCTTCTTACAAATAATGTGATGGTATTTGCTTGTTAAGTTGCATCATTCGTGGGAGATAAAGGAAAAGCAAATCAAAGATCCATGTGACCTCATGCAGAGATCAGACAGTAACACCATGTTCTCTGAGGCATCAGTCTCATGTCATTTCCGTGTAATTTTTATGCCCATTACAGTTCCAAGTGTACATAAAAATGCTTAGGAGTTTATGGTGTTATAGAAGGGAACTGTTTGGTTTACACAGAAGTTTGGTGAATACCTCATTCTATTCTTATTCTGTCCTCGATTTCTTGCATCACTTAACAGTTACCATGCAATTGTGTGTTTTCTCCAGGTTAGGAACAATATCACAGAGTTTACCTGGTAGAAAGAAGGAATTCCCAGCAAGAGGGCATTAGTGCTAGAATGTGCTGTGTGCTGACTGAGGCAGCCATGCTGGTTTCAGGACACAAGCCATGGTGTTCATTGCGTGTTTGTCACTGGTGTCATTTTGCCATCCTCTTCTCATTAAAGCCATTGTACCATGTGTTGTCATTTCTAGATGTGAAAGACTTGAAGAGCAGTTAAATGACCTGACTGAGCTCCACCAGAACGAGATTCTCAATTTAAAACAGGAGCTGGCCAGCATGGAGGAAAAGATTGCCTATCAGTCTTACGAGCGAGCCCGGGACATCCAGGTGGGTGATAGAAGCAACAACCCAGGTCCTGCCCTTTGCCTGCTCTTTCAGGAACTCATTCACTTTTGAAGTATGCCTGCACTTCAATATTCGATTTTAATCCTTGTAGCTTTATTGCTAAACTCCTGCATTCCAAAAGATCCTTTTTCCATTTCTGACCTCTGGGTATCTCTCCAGGTAACATCCTCTGTAAAGCAGGGCTGTGTCCCACACAAAGGGAACCTGCTGCTCAGCTGGAGCACAGCAGGAGCCAGAGCCCACTTTTTCTGCAGGTTTCTGTATTAGACACTCAATGGGCCGTGACCCAAACACTTTTTTGCAGTCATGTTCCCAGTACACGGCCCTGGGGTGTGGTTGTGTCACTGATTTTACAGCAATGGTCACATAGCTCTAAGGAAAAATGGCTATGTGTGTGCACTGCATTGAGTCAGGAAACAGTTCTTTCTGTTGGCTTTGAAGAAATAAGGAGGTGTTTCTAAAAGAAAAGCTTCTTTTAATATGTAGAAAAGGTTGTGAAACGAGATCTTGAAGTTGGAGGCCCTTCTAACAAAGCAAAGCAGCTGCTGACCCTTACAGAAAAAGGCCTGTTCAGAAACAAGTCTCTTGACTATTATAAGTACTTGCTGTGGTAGTTTTAACAGATATCTCAGTTCTGATTGCTCATGGGAAATATTTGTAGTGTGAGCAGAGAGTTGTAGGTTAAGAGTTCTCCCTTTTTCTTGCCGAGGTACTTCAGCCAGGTAATTTCCTCTGAAGACCAAGCAGGCTATGCTGTTCATACACCAGCTGTAACTGATTGTCAAACGTTCTTCCTGGTCACTGCTGTTTGGGACAGCTGAGCAATTCTGCCCTGTGCTTTCAGCGGTCTTAACCAAGGAGAGGCATTCCATGTTTCATTGACCCCCACAAACATGATGCAGTGAGAAATGTAACAGGTGACAATGACCTTTAAGTTAAATTTAATCCGTGTCTGTGGACAGTGGTACAATGGCCCCTGGCAGTGTAAACAGGAGGCTGTCCCTTGGAGGAGTGTTACAACAGTCGGGTTTTGTTCTCCTCTCTAAATTCAGATGGCAGGAAGATTGAATTGAAGTGGGATTTCTCAACAGTTTTTTTTAATCTTCATCGTACGATTCAGTACTTTCAGTGTAATCTTTAAAGTTGGGACAGCCTATTTTTCAGCACTGTTGGGGAAGAGGGAGGTGTTTTGTTGTATAAAAAACTATTTAAGAACATGGGCTACTGTTGCAGAGGAACAGTCCTGGTTCCTTTTTTGGTGATCAGTCTAGGAAGGACTGCTGCAGATGGCCTATGTGTCTGGAAATTCAGGTGACTCTTGGGGGAAGATTGGTAGAAATATTGTAACTTGGTATTTTCAAGAGCAGAAGTCTCTCTTGGTGTTAATTGCCTGAAAACCTCTCTCCTACTTCCTAGCCCCCTGCATTGCATGTCACCGGTATTTTAGTGCAGGTTGGGTTGGTCCAGTTGGGGTTCAGCCCGGTGAAAAGGTCTGACAAATCCCGCTTGAGTCAGTGGGGCTTTAAAGAGGTGGATTTGTGCAGGGTAGTCTTCTCCTTGCACCTCCTTTCATTTTGCCTCTTCCTGTAGGCAGTTCCACAAATCTCATGCTTCTTACCCTTGTAGATGTCTTTCCCCAGCCCTCACAGTCAGCTGGAGCTATGCCAGTGCCACAGCTTGCTGCAGTCTGGAGAAGATATCCTTCCTGCAATGGCAGCTGTGCAGTCCCAGCCCTAGTGCCCCTCAGACCTTTCTCTGAGCTCACAGCTCATTAAGCAAGCAGAACACAGCTGAGCCTTTGGTAATTATTTTTGTTGATGTAGCTTCTGCAAGGTTGCCTAGTTTCTGCAAAGGGGTCAGATAAACACAAGTGACTCCAAGGAAGGTGGTGGAAGTTGAGGTTCTGGGAATGCACATCCCAGAAGAAGATGAAGATTTCTGGCTAGGCACAGCACTTCTGTCCTCTGAGTGGCCTCTTGCTGGAAAAGCTGAAGTGACCAGATGGCTGGGTAGCCCCCTTCTGGCAGAAGCTGTGGGTTTTCCCGGCCTAGCATCTCCAAGTCAAGCTTTCTGGGTGTGGATGAGGCACCTGGGGTATTGCAGGCTGCAGTGCCCAGTCAGCAAGGGGCTTCTCACCTCGGATATGGGAAATGGCACTGCTTCCCCTGCTCCCACTGCAGGGCAGGAGCTCAGTGCATGAGCAGGGTGAGGTGAGGGGACGCTCCTGGCTTGGCCTGGTTGGTGCGGTAACAGATGTGAACTTGAGTAACCCAGTACGTGCTCTTGCCCACAGGAGGCACTGGAAGCGTGCCAGACGCGCATCTCCAAGATGGAGCTGCAGCAGCAGCAGCAGCAAGTGGTGCAGCTGGAGGGGCTGGAGAATGCCACAGCCAGGAACCTGCTGGGGAAGTTCATCAACATCTTGCTGGCTGTCATGGCTGTCCTCCTCGTCTTTGTCTCCACTGTGGCCAACTGCGTTGTGCCCCTGATGAAGACTCGCAATAGGACGTTCAGCACTTTATTTATAGTGGTTTTCATTGCCTTTTTGTGGAAGCACTGGGATGCCATCACCGGCTACTTGGAACGATTCTTGTCTCCGCCCAGATGATGGTGGCAGGAATGGGCTGCGCCGCTCGCTCCTGGTGCTCTTGGTGAGCAAGTGTGGCAAAGATTAGTCAGCGACTACTCTGCTGAAGTTTTAAAGTGTCCGAGTGAATTTGTTTACATTTAGAATAACGTTTTTTCTCTGCAAGATGCATTGCAATAGTATTTTTTAGATTTTACTCAAGAACTCTTTTGGCGAGAATCCTGGATAATTTTTATGTAGCATGGTTCTCTTTGGATGCAAATCTTAAGATTCTTTAAAGTGTACAAAAGAAATGAATAAAATACAGAAATTTGGAGCATACCAATGGGCAGTTTAAATTGTGGCTTGAACTACTGTACTAAACCTGTCAGGAAGAAGAGAACGTGGTTAGCTTAAGACGAGCAAAGCTCAATCTAGTGCACAGCCTTGAATGATGGTACCACAGCAAACCTGTAACACTAAACTTTTACTGTGAAGTCTGCTCACATTCCATGTCCGAGTGTATGCATTGAGTGGTTTCTTTCCTTAACAAGAGAAAAACAACAACGTGTGGATCCCTCTCCCAGCTCAGCATCTGGGTTCGCCGTTTGTGTTAACCTGACTTCAGTAACTTTCTGTAAGGCTGGCTAACTTGGCTGAGTATATGGAGTGGAAGCCTCATGCCATATACAGTAACTGCACAGTCGTGCTACAGTATTTTGAAGTAGTCCTTGAAATACATATACTCTTTAAGCAGAAGCCCTTGGTCGCACTTTTAAGGTTTTTTTTTAATATATGTATATTCACAGATTTAAAAAAAAATCCGAACAGCATACTTGAAGAGTGTAATACTCAAACTCTCAGTGCTTCCTTATTGTTTCTAATAGGATTTTTTATTATAATTATAATTATTATTATTATTATTGGGGGTTTTTTTTGAAGGGGTTGGGAGGGTCATTACTTTTTTTCTTTCAAATAAAGAAGTGATGTTTTTAAATGAAGAAATGCGTGAATAATTGTGAGCCGTCTTGTCCTGAAGCAGTTCTGAGAAGGGCAGAGAGTAGTTTCTAGTGTCAGGCTGTCAAATGCAGCACTGTCCATATGCCATTTGTCTGTCCTCCTGAGCTTGAAGATGCAGCATCATGGAAAACATCTGTTTTCTCCATACCTTTTTGTCATGCAGGGCTTTTTTTCCTTTTTCCACATGTGAAGGATGCTATGTTTGTATTTTTTGTTTGCGTGTCATCTCTCATTCCTGGCCTCAGGATAAGAGCAAGGAATTTCTGTTCATCTCTTCCTAGGGAAAAGACAAGTTCTTTTGAGGAAAGAAGTACTGACTCAACAGTTCACTTAACAGAATGGTTATCTCAAAAATAGTTCTAATTAAAAAAAAAAAAAAAACCTGAAAAGTGAAACCAAAGTTTTCGTCCTGTCAGGCTCTGGTAAGATTATTTGTGTGTCTGTATCTGTAGTGTGCCATCCTCTTTTTCAGCCACAAGGGACAGCACTTGGTGCAGACACCTGTGTGTGCAAATCTCAAAAGGAAATGCCAGCTTCAAATGCAGCCCCAAGTCTTCACAATGTGCCATTACTGGTGACCTGTTGGTACAGGTAGGCAGCCCTCAAGTCCAAGGAATCTGTGTTCATTCTGTGCTGATTTTTAACTGCTGTCCTTTTCACCATAACAGTGCCAAGATTCATCTTTTGTCTTCATGAAATCTAAAAAAAACCCCTCCAGGATTCTGTCAAAACCATTTATGGTGTTTAGTTAGGTCTTACTGGTTTCCTTCATTCCAGGATCAACTTCCCTCTAGGAATCAAATGTTGCCCAAGTGACCTAAACCAGTTGAAATCATACGTGGGCATGTATGAGACATGTACAACATACATATACACACATGCATAGGCATTGTGCTATGGTACAGATTCTGGGTTCTGAGAAATTCCCTCAAACAAAGTTAATACCTTGAGTGTTTTCTGATTTCCAGCAAAGGCAAGGCCTCCACTGTCCGTCTTTCTTCCTCCAAGAGTTTTTTCTGCAGTCACAGGAAACTCAGGTGCCCTTCCCCCGGGGATCCCAGTACACCTCTCTGTCACCATGTGCACTAATCTGCTCCTGTCCTAATTAAAACAAAGACTGACATTTACAGCTGACTCAAGCCAAAACTGCTTGTGCTTTCTGCAGTGCCACAGCCAGAGCAGAGGTGTGTGGCCATTCCCTCCCTTGCTCCTGGCTCCGGTGAGGCTCTTCTCTAGTGACTCACATTTCTTGGCTAACTATCATCTTGCCATTTTCCAGGTTTTTTCAGAAACAAATGTGTGAATCACAGTAAGAACTGATTTGGCACATAACTGAAATACTTCGTTGCCTTTTTTTTTCCTGAAAACTGGCCTTTGTACCTCTTTTTCTCAGTTTTGTTCACACTACAATTGCTTAAGATACGTTTTCCTGTGGTCAAATCAGGAAGGAGTTAAAAACCAGTGGCTCTGGACATTTAGTGTCTGTAGTATTTAAGGAAGTGTTGTCCCTCTTCTTTATGTCCTAATTTCATTTATTTTCTCAACTCTGTCATATTCAGTAAGTATCATTTGCTAGCTTGCCAGAAATGCAGGCTTAATAGAAACTGACATCTCAGAACTCTTTGGTGAAGGCCATATACATATGGGTCTGGACAAAGTGTCTGTCTCTTTCTCTCTCAACAGTTTCTTCCATTCCAGAAAGTTGTCTGCAGTAACGTCATGTATGATGCTGCATCCACTTCTCATATCCTAACACAACTGCCATGTGTTTTGCCTTTTGCACTAGCAGAACATTTTGGGGTTTTCCTCCCTCTTCAATTTGAAAGTCTGTGATGATTTCTGATAGCTTAATGATGATGTTGTTGGAAATGTGATTCTAGCTTTAAAGCTCCCTTTCCTTGTACATGGTTGTGTTTGCTTTCCTGATGGAGTGTTTCTGGGTGACGCGTAGAGAACAGTTTCTGCTGTGGATGTGAGTGCGTGCGTGCGTGAGTACCTTTAATAGCCTCCTTTGTAGATAAAAACTTTTTAGTGACCATCTCTGAGTGGCAGAATGTTTCCCAAAACATTTCATATTCGGAGTTGAAGTGATTCAGAAATTGCTTAGATGTGTTTAGCACATACTGCCTTGGCACATAAAAAGGGAAAAATATAATGGACTGTGTAAGTTCCAGGAGCAGCACCTCCTCATTAACATTTGAGGGTTCAAGTGAAGTTCATCTGTTTCCCCTATTTCCTTCAATATAAAGAAGAAAGAAAATCTTGATGCAAAAAAAAATATTTTTAAAACTTTTAGAAAGTTCTTTTTTCTCTCAGCCTCATTAGTTTATTTCAAGGGTATTCAGCATGCTCCCAGCAGTTATTCTGTTGGTTTATTCCAATCCCATGTGTGCTTAGGTGGGATCAGATGAACTGCTGACTTATGTGCGTGTTGCAGGAAAGCACTGTCTGTCAGCTTTGAAAATATGCATTTTTAAAATTAAAAAAAGAAAAGGCATTATAAAAAAAGAAGCCAAGCTACAAAGGGTTCAAGACTGAGTAGTTTTGCCAGTTTTTAAATGAATTCTGGAAGTGGCTAAAGAGTTACCCTGTGTGTCTGTGTTGTGTATGCCAGGTGGTATAGTCGTAGGCAATTGACTTAGCTGTAAGTGTGTTTTAAAAGTGTAAAAAAAAACCAGAAAAACTCACTTGCACGGGTTGAAAAGTACAGAAATGACACTTGTGAACGTAACACTGTAGTTTATAGATCTTAAGCTGCTAATTGTTGAGAGAGATTTACATTTGTCTTGTCTGATTGTTGCAGATTTATCTGTGGCAATTTTACTGTATATAAAAAACTTTAAATAAAGACCTCAGCTATTAACACCGGTCTAGTTTGGATCTTTCTGGAGGGGCGAGGGCAGGGGAAGGGAGGTGCTGTCATGGAGAAGAAGAGGGGTGTGTCAAAACTGCTGAGCCCTGAGAGCTCAAAATGTCGGCAAGTTCTCCATAGCTCTGATTGTCAGACTTTATCCTACACTCAGCCACCCACACACCACTAGGGCACAACAAAAATAAGCTGGTGTCAGTGTCTGGTCTTGCAGGTGTAGGAAAGGAGCAGCAGCATTGCATTCGTCCTCATTGATCCTTTCCAGCCCCCTTGTCCCCCTTGGGACAGCCTCTGGCAGGGTCCCTGCAGCCACACTGTGACTCAGTTTGCAGGTCAGTTCAGTCAGACTTACCCACCAAGAGTCTGTCTTGGAAGGACCAGAAGTTGGTCCTGTGTTTTTCCACCCTTGGTCAGTAGCCTGCCCTGTCCCAGATGAGAACAGCCCTTGCCTCTGTGGACTTTGTCCTTAAGGGATTTCAGGGCCCACTCTGTGTGACATGCGTATTTAGAGGCAGGTGCACTGTAGCATCACCCGTGTGTCTCAGGGAGCTTGTGATGGAGCAGTTCCAGGCCTGGCTCAGTGTGGATGAGAAAGGCTGCAGCTGCCAGGACAGCACTCCTTAGCAGAAAGCTCCCTCTCCCTGAGCAGAGGCAAGAGACTGCACAATGTTGGTTGAGCCCCTGCTGTAAACAAGAGGTATTTTGGCTACTGTGTTTCATAGAAGAATTTCTGAATCCTTTATTATTTGTACAAACTGAAAGTGAGCAGATTCCTCACTGGTGTGGAGAAGATACTTGTTCCTCTTGGGTTTTGATCATGTGGTATCAGGAACAAAGAACCAAGAAGGGAATGGAAACAGTATTTTACGGATAAAGGTATGGAGTCCTTTTCTCTGTTTTCACAGAGATGCAAGTACTGTAAAACCAGCAAGAGATCAAAAAGCAAAAGCAGCTGTTTGCAGGATTTTTCCCCCTGTAATCTCCTCACAACCAGAATGCAAATTCCAGCAGTTTATGGATGAAGCAAGTGCATGGTGCTGCTTTTGCTAGAGCTGTCTGGCTTAGGATGGGACATGGTTGTGAGGGTAAATGGTTCTGCATTCTTTTGGGACGGTCACCTGAGAGGTGCTGGCTGTGGCTCAGGAGCAGCAGGGGACCATGATGGCCAAAGGTGAAAGCACTGGCCTTCTACTCCCATGTCAACAGATTTAATCTGATAATGCAGGGGATTAGGTGGTGTTACTCAGCTTTTTGGTTAGTCTGTGGGAAGTGGTTTGATAGCTCCACCCAGGTCCTGGGGAACAAACAGGGATATGGCAAGGGTACAGCCAAGCTGGGTTGCAGCAGTGGAGGTGAGGAATTGGTTCATGTTTCTCACTGGAGCAGTCATTCTCCCCGGCCAAATAACATCACTTTGATGTGCTAATAGTGGAAATTTTTTCAAACAGCCAGCTCCCTACCACAAAATACCAGTCTTTAAGTTGTTTCTTAAACACCAAATCAACTGGTGTTTAAGTGTTGGTCAGTAGTTCATCAGCCTCAGAGGAGCCTCCCTCACTGACTGGAGTTAGAAATAGGAAGAGGGTTCTTTGCTGCCTGAGTTAGCATGAAATAGAATATCCCAGGGCAAACCAGCTCTGCTGAGTGGCTTGTACTCTAGCCAGATCCCCTCTGAAATTAGGAATAAGAGTCACCTTGAATGTTTTCTTGGCCTTTGTACCAGCCTTGTGCCAACCCTGGCCAAAGGGGAAAAAAAAAGTAATATTGCCTGAGAAGGGGCAGAGCCGGATGGGAAGATATGCAGTGTGTGTTCAGCCCTCTTCCTCAGTGCAGCTGTTCCTGTAGTCCTGCCTGCTTTCAGCTGATAGTCTTCTTGACTTAGAGCCAAGAGGTCTGAAGGCATTCAAAAGTTCCTCCACTACACATAAAACAGTGTTTTCAGATTGGGGTCACCTATCAGACCTCTGTTGCAACAGCCTGAGGACACCTCTGGCTCCAAATCATTGTTTGAAGAACAGCTAATCCTGATTGTGACCTCCAGGGAGGAGGATGCCCGAGAGCCTGTCTGGCCAGGATAGAAGAGTGTGACAGCACATTGCGCTATCTGGTCAGTCAGCTCCTCAATTCCACCTGCTTCTGGCACTACTGACACATCTGCACATCACCGAGGTGCCTCCCCATTCATTCCCTGAGGGTGAACAGGAGCTCTGGGCCAAGCCAGCCCCGTCCCTCCGCAGCTCTGCTGAGCATTCCCTGAAGGGGATGGTGCTGACACAGTGAGCACACTGAGGGGGAGGCAGCTGCTTGGTTTGCTCTGGGAAGGAGCTGTGACAGCATGGCTCATATTTTTCTCAGACACACCCTGAGAACTAAACGAGATATTTTACAAATATCCCATCCTGCTTGCCTGGGCAAAGGATCCCGAGAAGAGAACAGGGACTGAATGAGGAAGCAGGTGACATTTCACTGATGGAGCACTCCTCAGCAGAAAACATCTTCAAGGAAGCAACATCTCTCCACCCTCCTGATTGTTGTCTCACACATCTTGAAGCAGTTGTGACCCTTGGCATGGGTAAAATAGTCCTGTCCCACACTGCTCAAGAACTTGGGTTATATTCGTCCAAAAATGTTTCATTGAAAGACAGTTCACTTTTTTCAGATCAGCTCTCCAGCTCCATTGGGCACATCAGCATTTCCCTCCACCTCTGGAAACAGACTGGCAGGTAGGTATCAGCTGGCATTCCATCTGTCCCGTCCAATGCTTTCCCAGCTGGCGAAGGCCGGTTGTTGCTGGGCGCGGCCAGACTAGCCCAGGCGGGGCCAAGCCTTCGCTACCCCGAGTGCCCCGA